TACCTCCCCCACCTCCACCTCTCCCGGGCATAGGGTGCCCACCTCCACCCCCGCCCCTGCCAGCTGTGCATGGCATGGAAGAGGTCATTGTGGCCCAGGTGGACCACAGCCTGTGCTCGGCTCGGCTGCCCAGCCACCGGCAGGTACACCCACCTTCACTGCGGATGAAGAAGCTTAACTGGCAGAAGCTGCCGTCTAGCGTGGTCCAGGGTGAGTGCTGGCCCTGCCCATCGCAGTGCCCCTCCACACCGGGCCCCTCCACGCTGGGCCCCAGGCCCCTGTTCCTGGATGAGTTGAGGATTGGGAGCACAGATTTGAAGCATATGGAGAACTCTCCTGGAGGAGACGTGGACGTGCTGAGAGTGGGAAATGTATGATCCGTGGGGGCCTGCCGGCCATTCTGGCACGCTGGACTCCTGTGTGCTCAGGGGTCCCTGTGAGGTGCCTCTGGGTCACTAGTGCCTTGGGGCCTGCACTTCCCAGCTCTGTGTCCGCAGGGCACACTCTGGGGCCTATAAATGCGACATGCGATTCGAATCCAGCAGCTGCTCCCAAACAGGAGTGGCTGTTTTGTGAAAGACTACGGCCTCCAAGACCAGTGGGGTCGCCCCCAGTCGGGTTTAGGACTCAGGGTTTCAGAATTGAGCTCCCGCTCTGGGCGAGGCCTCTGACAGCAGCCCCCCTCCTGCAGAGCGCCACTCCATGTGGGCATCACTGGGCAGCCTGGGCGCTGAGGCGGTGGAGCCTGACTTCTCCAGCATCGAGCAGCTCTTCTCCTTCCCGGTGGCCAAGCCGAAGGACACAACGGTGGCTGCCCCGGCCAGAAAGGAGCCCAAGGAGGTGGGTGCTCTGGCCAGGTGCGGGCGGACCCCTGGGGACCACTTGTCAGCTCTGCACGAGGCACACAGCCCTCCCCTGGCGCGTCTTCCAGATCACGTTCCTGGACTGTAAGAAGAGTCTGAACCTCAACATCTTCCTGAAGCAGTTCAAGTGGTAGGTGAGGGACACGGCCTGGGCGCCCTGCCCCCAACACTGCCAGGTTCCTCCTGGGTGTGGCATGCCCTCTGCAGGCCATCTTGGGAAGCGCGGGGTCCCAGGGCCCAGAGCGGCTGGTCCCCTCTGACCACAACTCCTACTTGCACCCTATACCTGGCCATGAGCAGGCCCTGCGCCCCACTCCATTCAGGCTTTGGGTGCCAGCCTCTCCCTGGGCAGCCCAGGAAGAGAAACAGGACAGGAGCACCAGGATTCTCCGCTCAGGCCTCATTCCTGAGTGACCATGTCCGCACCAGCTCTGGCACTTTCTGGGGCCCAAAGTGCTGGGTCTGAGGGTCGGTCCGCTTGTGCCCCATCGTCTCCCTCCCCCAGCTCCAATGAGGAGATCACCGCCATGATCCGTGCTGGGGACACAG